CCTAAAATGTTCAGTGAAGACATGATAATGCATCATTGCTTTCTACTATTTGCTTAAGCTGATTGTGTTTGTCTATTGTTGTGAAGTAATTGAAAATCATATCAAATTTTATATCCAATTTAGGCAGAAATTTATGGTAAAGCCACATCACATACCCACATTTTCTGCAAACCTCAAATGTTCACATAATTTTTCCTGCAACTGTGTATAATATATCGCAATCCAGTTATTGGCCTCAGTCACTGAAAAATCCATATTAGTTGACCACTGTCTTGTAATAGATTTAGTGCTTGTCAGCTGAACAAACACTTGAACAAACAATGTCACTTAAAGTGTCTGCTCAATGAATCAATGCAAATGTCAGCACCAATAAATAAAGTACAAAGAAAACTAATAAATAAATAAATAAGATACAACATAAATTTTGACTTTAAAGGGGTCATATGATGCGATTTCAAGTTTTCCTTTCTCTTTGGAGTGTTATAAGCTGTTCGTGAATAGATACGATCCCTAAAGTTGCAAAGACTAAAGTCTCAAAACCAAAGAGATATTCTTTATCAAAGTTAAGACTCTGCCAACATTTATTTTGAAAGATGAAGCTCGCGATTATGGTAAGGGGCGTTACATTTCCGTCTCACGCTTGAGGTATTCGGCCAATCACAACGCACTAGATAGCTGGCCAATCACAGCACACCTCGCTTTTTCAGACCGATGAGCTTTGTAAAAATCGACGCGTTTCAAAAAGGCGGGGCATAGAGAAGAAACAATAATGTACAGTATGTGGAAAATAATGTGTTTTTTGAACTTTAAACCGCATAAACACATTTCATTACACCAAATACACAAAATAATGTTCTTTTTAGCAGCATCATATGACCCCTTTAAGAGTCCCAGCCACTGGTGTATACTGACATCCTCAAGTGGTAGGTGTTTGTCAGAACCACTAGAGGGCGACCTTTGACCCTAAGGAACAGCCTGTCCTTCTCTTCAAGAATCGGCTAAAAACACATCTCTTCTATCTTTTTTTGACCCTCTAACACTAGCTTGCTCTATTCTATCTGTTTTTCTTTTTATTTATTATATAATAAAAAAACAACAACCTTGCTACGTGTACTGCGTTAAGATAACTTAGACTTGTTATAGCACTCACATATCATTGCTCTTTTGTTGATTTTGATTGCTTCCATTGTCCTCATTTGTAAGTCGCTTTGGATAAAAGCATCTGCTAAATGACTAAATGTAAATGTAAATGTAAATATCCAACACCACTCGCCCATCACCTCACCATAACACTCTGACTGTCACCACTCACCATCTTTGTTATGTTCTCTCGCCTTTATGGCTCAATGAGAACACAGAAAAAATTTTGGTGGAAAATATGCGTTTGTGTATCCGTTATTAAAAACATATAATGAAGAATAAAGTTTATTTTGAAACAAAAGAGCTTGATATAATATGAAAACATACAGTAAATATTGGAACTTAAAACAAAAATTATATTTAACATTTAAAGGGGCATATTTCTTAAAGGGGTCATGAACTGAGAAATCAAAATATATAAGAGGTCATTGTGTTATAAAACATCCTGTAAGTTTCAGAACTCAAGAATTTGTCGTTAGTCTAAAAACAGCTTATATTGAAGCCAATCAGCCAAAATGACAGGTTGTGGAATGTTCTACTCTACTGTATGTTCTACTCTATGATGTAATAGTGTGGCTAAACACCGCCTCCGCAGAACAAGATCAATGCCTACTTCTACGTCGTTGCATATTCAGCCCCGCCCACTTAATCGTGTAAATGACAAGAGCGGCAAAAGCAGGTCTGTGCAGAAACTAAACTATGAACTTCATTTGATGAACTGATGAAGTGCCAGACCACGTCAGTAAGAACTTTGTCCTTTGTTCACTTCATTTTACCGCGGATTTCATTTACAAACAAGGCACAATTCGACAGGATTTTCAAATAGATTGAAATTGAAAGATGATGCTGTGCCGACTATATTGGATCCGACAGTAGTCACAACACACAAGTTTGAGTAACTGTTTTCATTACGTGATCACTATTACTTTGTCTCTTCTTACAGATAGCTTGATATGTACTGAGTATACAATCCGCCACGTCTATTCAAATGGAGCGTTCAGATGAGGGGGTTAAAAACTCGACAGAAAATATCCTATAATCTCTAAATCATGATGTTTTTGATGTAAATATCTTGATAATATAATTGGGCCTCACAGAACAGTACAAAATAAAAAACAAAGGCAGTTCATGACCCCTTTAAAGGAATAGTTCACATAAAACTTTCACTTCAACACGTTAATTGATGCACAGGAGTGTTGTGGATTATTGTGATGTTTTATCAGCTATTTGGACTATCACTCTGACGGCACCCATTCACTGTAGAGGATCCATTGGTGAGCAAGTGATGTAATGCTAGATTTCTCCAAATCTGTTCTGAGAAAGAAACAAACTCATCTACATCTTGGATGGCCTGAGGGTAAAAATTTTCTGCAAATGTTAAATTTTGGGTGAACTATACCTTTAAAAGTGCAGTTGCAAAAACAGACAGTTTAATTATCAGATACAGGTACAGAGAGAAGGTGGAAAGAAGTAATGTAAAACTAAAATATGCTACAAAAAAACACAACTAAATTAATGGACCTCAGGAAAATTCATAATACATCCTCTTTAAACCTGACTGAAGACATAAAAACATGCTATAAATCTTCCTTATCCTCTTTCAAATACTTCCTGCATGCTACGCTTTTATATTTGTCCACGCTTGTATTTATCCAGCAATAAAACCATAGAGATAAATATAAAAGTGCTACTCCAGACAAAACAGATATAACCCAGACAAACAAACACAGTAAACACACACACACACACACACACACACACAATAGTTCACATAAAACTTTCACTTCAACACGTTAATTGATGCACAGGAGTGTTGTGGATTATTGTGATGTTTTATCAGCTATTTGGACTATCACTCTGACGGCACCCATTCACTGTAGAGGATCCATTGGTGAGCAAGTGATGTAATGCTAGATTTCTCCAAATCTGTTTCAATGAAGAAACATGATCAAACACACCAGCCGGCCCTCAGAGAGCCAAGAAGCACTCAACCTCAGCGCCAAAACCATGGAGGTCTGATCTAATGGCACCCAAACTAATGGGAAAATTAGAAAGTGATCCATCAGGAGAGCCCGTGGGGATAAGGGGGTCAATTATTCAGGGGCCTCATCCTAATACACACTGGCTTGAGAGCCACACCCATTGACTCACAACACAATACTGTGTGTGTGTGTGTGTGTGTGTGTGTGTGTGTGTGTGTGTCTGAGTCTGACAGTGGGACTGATAACACAACCCCGGCTGGTTGCGAGCACACATTTTCTTCAGCAATCAGCACATCGGCGTGTACGCTTCCACACACACACATACACGCACGCACCTATATACACAAGCACACTAATCCATTTGCCTCCTCCTCTTCCGACTGTGCAGCATGCTGCGGGGAGATTCGAGGCCCTGTCACCATGGAAACCTGGCCAGTATAAGAGCACAACCGTGTATGTGTGTGTGTGTATATATTTGTTCATGTGTATATGCGTGGGTGTGTATGAGACCAAGGCCTACACAGGTTTTCATACTTTCCGCTGCCAAAGAGGGGGCAGACACATGTGGAAACGTACTATATGATCATAAATATTCATGAATTTTCTAAGGTATGTCCTTACAGGAGCATTAAATATCTTCATCTTTAAAGGTACACAAGTTTCTGAGCCTATGTAAGAGGAATGGCTGGGAGTCAACCTTTCCAGTCTGCTTGGGGGGGTAAAGATCCCCCTGCTGGCAGGCAAGGAGGAGGTACTTTAGCACAAAACCCCTTGTGGATGGGCAAATGTCGTTCAGCAGGGGCTACGAGGAGGGCTTTGGGAGAGGAGGACACATTTCAGCATAACACAGGAACCTTCCTTAAAATGTCAAATGGACATGAGGGGAAGAAAAAGAAAAACTTGATACGAACTATGTATTATATACTGCCTTACAGGACCTGACTACATTTAGGGTTGCAAGAATATTAAAATTCAGACCAAAATGATAAGCCGATAATTATTTCCATGCCCGAAAACTGATACATGGCTCATATTAAAATTCCATGTTTTTTTTTCTAAATAATTAAACAAAAACAAAAAAAATTAATCAAAAATCAAAAGTTACAACTGAATTTAGACATCACAACAACATTATAAAGTAGTATGACAAATGGATATTCATTTTGAGATTTGCTAAAGATCCCATTTACCAGAGATATTAAATTATGAATTAATTAATTTCTGTTTTTAGAAATGAACTTCAGGTGTAAAAATAGAAGAAATAGGCATGCACAGTTATCCAATATTGATTGAAATATACTACTTTTCGAAGGTTTGTTAGTAGTAAAAATATTTTTAATAGAAGAGAATGCTCAGTTAATTCATTAAATTGATCGAAGTCATTTAAAACTTTACAAAGGATTTAGATATAAACGCTGTTCTTTTAAACAGTGTATCACAATTTCTACAAAAATATTAAGAGGCAGAACTGTTTTTAACATTGCTAAAAATGTACATTGCATATTTGTTTGTTCCCATTTTAAAATAAATCTTGAAATAACAAAGACTGGCTAAACTGCATCCTGCAGACACAAAGAATAGAGATGTTCCAATGAAAAGGAGAAGAAGTGCACAAACACCCACAGACCAACAGCAGAAACTACAGGCCAGTGCCTTTGACCTCACACTGTTACCACAAGAAAGGTCGGTATGGAAATGATTGGAGCTACTGTCCATGCATGCAGCTATAAGTTGGCATGTAACTGTTTTAAAATGGATGCTGAGAACCTGAAAACCACATTTCATGGTGCATGATGGTTCAAAAAGGAGAATTATACCTTACAATGGCTTCTGCGACTGAGGCAAGAGTGACAGACACAAGACATTTGGGCGTCTTACCTGTCGGACGAAGCTGTTAGAGGTTGTGTCTGAGGAGGTGCTGCCATCTGAACGTTTGAAACGGCTCTTCCTCTTTGCATACTTCCCCTGAAACATGAGAGAGAAAGAAATTAGAAAAGAATGGATACTTTTCTGTATGCATGGTTTACCACCCCCCCCACACACACACAAAATATGGATTCTTGGCCTGGTCTCTGTGTCCAGATATGATTACCCATAATTACTCATGTCCGCCAGTGTTCTCTGGGAATCAGTAATCTGATTGGCCTTAACATTGGCCAATGGCCTGGCTGCCCTCGGCAGGGCCCTCTATGTGGCATTCATAGGCGCCAGACTCCGTTGCCATGGAGATCAGAAGAAGGCTAATTGGGTTTTGTGGCACTAAAAGACCCTGATGGATAAGGCAAGACTGTAATATGCTCAAAACCAGCATTCACAGTGATGCACACAAGCTTTCTGATATAAATGCTTGCAAAACCATTGTTTTTCTTCACCTGAATCCCACAACTCCTTCCCCTTTCCATCAGGCAATCAACTACAACAACCAGCAGACAGTTTTAGTTTAAAAAGAAATGTGCAAAAGTGTGTTAAATAATGATTGTTGTCAAATTCTATGACCTCGTATGACACTCATTTGACAAACAGATAGTCCTGCCCCAAACTCACACTATTGGTTCATCCAGTGTTGCTATATGTTGGGCTGGTTGAGATGCGCAAACAGACAGATCAATGTTTTGAAAGGGTTTTAGACCTTTCAGGGAATCAACTATGAATTACTTGCTTAAAGTTTGGATGTGATAAAGCACTTTAACGGGAAAAAATTAAACGCATCTAAATGAGATTGGAAAGTTATTATCTAGGGGTCATACAGGGTCCAGACAGTTAATACTGACATAACTGCTTCATGGGGAAGAACATCTGAAAGGTGCTGTGTAATAATTTTGTGCTTGAATGTCTCAAATATAATATGAAATGCTTTTTGCGGTTAAGGAAATAAAATATATAAAATCAAACTAATGCAAAGATTGACAAATTCTTTTGCTGTGTAGTTGATTTTGGGAACACACAGAAAACAAGCCTCAACAACTGCACAATATTATGATTACAGACACAAACCAGTTGCAAGCTTACTGGAAACTATTGCATAAATCAAACCACAATGCTGTAGCTTTCCCAATATTGGTAATTTCCCAAGGTCTTGCCTCTATGAGTGCCAGTGAAATCATAAAACATTAATTTAAAACCGAACAGAAGGACAGAACCGCACTGTCTGCATTGCTATTGCGTCATCATAAAGGGTTCATAATAGCCATTATGGTTACAAAAAAGGCATAATTGAGCACTGCCATTGCAAGTTACTGTGGTATATGCCAGACACAAGAAATACTTCTTTACCTTAGATAAAGCATTTCAATATTATTAAAGTCAATATAAAATCAGTTAACTCAATTTATAGTTCCTTAAGGCACAATCCTGGTCTTGCTGTGCATAATTCGCTTGTTTGCATCATTCCCAGTAAAGAAATGCTTAAAATAATGCAGAAATATAATGTAAACATTAACAATATACTAAAACAGGGGTGCCCAAACTCGGTCCTGGAGGGCCGGTGTCCTGCAGAGTTTAGCTCCAACTTGCCTCAACACACCTGAAACACACAAGTTTCTAGTATGCCTAGTAAGAGCTTGATTAGCTGGTTCAGGTGTGTTTAATTGGGGCTGGAGCTAAACTCTTCAGGACACCGGCCCTCCAGGACCGAGTTTGGGCACCCCTGTACTAAAAGCTTAAAGGGGGGATCTAATGCTATTTCATGCATTCTTAATTTACACTGCAAAAGAGTTGGATTCTCATGCAAAACATGACCAAAGTCTCAAGTTGGACGTTTGACGGAGTATTTCTGTGCCAAATACACTCCTTCAGGGTTCGTATAAATTTCTAAAAGTTTTTTTTTTTTTGAGTATGGCCCTATAGGACGTCATAAAGGGCAGAATTCCATGTATGGGCACTTCTCCCGGAAGAGTGCGAGAGCAAGACCACACCCATCAACGTGCTTCATTCAAGTTAGGAAGATGTTGGGATCCGATTCTGGATCGAATATGGAGGAATCTGATTTTTAGCCATAGTTAATTTAAGTCAAAAAAGTTTTTGTTCCTGTTTTATTTGTGTCGATGTTACAGCTTGCAGATGATCTACTCTATAGACCAATTACCGGTTTGTAAACATTCAGGATGCGCGCGCATCATGGTTGCAGAAAACCTGGGAGAGATAGCCTTTACAGCTAGAGAATTTCACGGTTAGGGTACAAAATAGTTACGTTTAAAAAGATTATAAATTATATTGATTAGATGTCATTTTCAAAATGTTCTCCGCATATTACAAGAGCTTGTCACCCAGCGATAAGCACTGTTATTCAACGAAATTGACGTTAGAGAGTGGGATAGTCTTACAGATCCGAAACAGGGATGATGTTTTTTGTAGAATTAGGAGATATAAACTTGCATTTGCGAGAGAAAAAAGTCAGAATTTTGAGATAAAGTAAATAAATGTTATGTAAAATTGTTAATAGTAAGGTTTAAATAATATTTCATGCTGTAACTGTAGGGCTAATACAATACGTCCCCTATGAACAGCATATGTGAATATTATGTAGACCTATTGTTTAAATCGAATTTATGCTTTAAAAGTAGAGTAATCATAGCAGTTTTCATCCATAGTACGTTATGTCCATTTAAACGTCTGCGTTTAGCTTCAAATGACGACAGTATTCTATAAAAATTATTTGCATTGACATCTTGACATCAAAAGGCACAAAAATATTTTTTTCTTTTATTCCATGGATTTTACCCATTTACCTCCACTTGTTCCCAGTGTTTTTCTGCAACCACTATGCGCGCGCAGCTGCAAGTGACGTAACTGTGACGTCTACTCTAAATTGGTCTATAGGTACTCAAGATTAACATGAGAAACGTGTTATGTGTCTTTAAAAAAAAAAAACTGAAATGCAACTAGGACTTGACTGAATTCTTGTTTGTAATGATCTATTGCTACAGGATAAAATCAAGTTCTGCACTACATTTTCCTTCTTGAATGTGTTTCACTCTGAAATACATCTGATTATAAAAGTAAAATGGTTTGAAAACAACATTTGACATCGACTTTAACCTGTTATGTTTGAGATACCTTGTCTTTAATTCTTTGCTACTCTCTTGTTCCCTTTAATCATAACTGGTTTGGAACCTTATAAAATAATGTTGTTTTAGTAATACTTACATAATAATAATAATAATAATAATAATAAAATCTTGAATTAACCTTTATGTTTATTTCCAGTTTTTATTTTTATTTTAAGTCAAGTTTAAGTTTAGTTAACTTTTAGTCATTTTGTTGTGTGCTTATGTTATTTTATCTATATCGATTTTTCCTATAGTTTTTTTCCTATATAGATTTTTTTTTTCAGTTTTAGTTTCAGTAATTGTAGTTCTTCTTTTAAGCTTAAGTTTCATGTACTATTTATATATTATTTGATTTAATCTTCATTTCAATAACTACAAAAGTTTTAGTTCACAATAACAACATTGAAAATAACATTCTTGTATTTTTGCAACCACCTGTACTTTTACCCAACACAGCATCCAAAGACATATAATAGACACATTAAATGTTTTAATCTAACAACCATCTTTAAACACCATGAATTGTTTAATGTGAAAGGTTTGTGAGAGGCTGGAGATGCTTATATACTGCAAAACCAGATCTGAGAAAGGCCAGCAAAATGTCAAGGGAAGGAGGAGGGATGTATTGCTATGGTGATGAGAGATTTCCTGTTGACAAACAGCCTCTGAGGCTAATTAGGTAATTAAGGAGGAAAAGCTGTGCCACGGGGCAGGGGGAAGGATTTTAGAGTTACACAGTGTCACCACTAGTTCATCACAGAAAGATAAGAGAAGAGAAGAGAAGACTTAACGAAGTTTAATTATGTGTCATGACCTTAATTGACCATGTGTGGCTAATGATATCAATCCAATTAAAAACTACATTAAATACCCACTTATGGTCTTATTCTTAACAAAAAATCAACAAAACTAGGAAATGCACTTTTTTCTGTACTCAACCGGTTTGCTCTCACACACATACACACTCGCTTCTCAACACTCCGCCTCCTCACAGTTATGTATAGACATGATTCAGATAGAGCACCTCTCCACAGCACAGGTCACACACATTCACACTACCGCATTATATAAAGTCCATTATATAAATACAGCCCTAGCCATCAGAAACACTACTGAAACAATCATCCACACACCACATGCAGAAAGTGGCCTGTATGGAACAGGTGTACATTCATATATCAACCGTCCTCCGAAACAATTCACAAACAGAGAACAGGGCAGAGCCAGAGTGAGGCATCAGAAAATGTTTTTACATTTTGTAACAGTTGAGTTCCTCAGTTGCCCTTAGTGTAAAAATATGGATCTCAAAATCATACAGTCACTGATAAAGGGGTCAAATATGCACAAGATGCTGGAAAACCAAAGAATGTGCAGGAGCTGGAGGATTTTTCTGAAGAACTCGTAAACAATTATCACAAAATATAAACACTTGTGGATCATCCAGGTAATGACACATTATTACAATTCTTTTGATCAGGGTCATTTTTATAAATTCGGTTATTATTTTGTCTTGTGAGGCATATGTAAACATCTGAAATAGCTTATTCAGGACAGAGCCAAATAAAGAATTACATGCAATTTTCATGATCCCTCATATTTGGTAAAAAAAATTGTTAATATTTTGCATATTTTGCAATGGTTATGTAAACTTGTGAGCAGAACTGAATCCAACTAAATGGTGATCGGGAAGCTGTTTGGGGCATTTTTGTTACTGTTTTTTGGCAGCAAATGGTAATTTTGCACACTTGCTGCAGTAAGAGATTAGATAGATAGATAGATAGATAGATCTTTACCAATTACCCCTTTTTAGCAAGAAGTTTTTAATCATTTGAAAGTACAGGTCAGAATAAGTATGTTTATTCATTTTTACATAAATATATCGGCTACACTGAATGGCGATGGAACATTATTTCACCCATATTTTGACATTTTATTTTCACAAAAGTTATTTGAAACAGACACTTTACTTGCATTTAATATGCTGTATATAAAATCACTTTGGTAAATTTTATTTGATGCCATTACCATTACGGGACATCTGGTCTTTAACCGATAGATAGATAGATAGATAGATAGATAGTCTGGTAAATGTATATAATATATCCATGTGGGCGTGGTTTGGGGTAAAATCCCCGCGGTGGAAGCACTATGTGATGACATCACGTTTTATAGCTTATGTTGACATCATCTTTCCAGCACTCAGTGTGGCAGACTCCACTTTTAATCAACTTTAACGTTAAACGGCGCATGAGATCAGCCCTGCTCTAATTATCAAACGTACTTTAAAAAAGCGATCTCTTGTTTAACAGTGATGGTTCATAACTTATCAACAGAACAGACTGTCATAAAAAATGCAATACTCTAGTAGGCCAGCTGTCTAGAGGGGCTAGGTGATGAAATAATGTTATCTCATAATTACCGGAGGAAATGCACTTTATACCCAAACAAATATCCGTATTCAAAACAATTTGGCTCATACACAAACAACTTTCCGTCGCTTATTTCCTCAAGGCGCACTTTTAAAAGACCTTGTGGCGAGCGCAAAGATGCCTTCTTGTTGCCAAGTAACCACTACATGAGCTACGGCTGATAACGACTAATCCTCGCCGTAAACAAAACCTGTTTTTCACTCAGTCATTCTTAAATAGCGGGCGGCGGGTTGTATTTTGTATTTCACTGGTTGCACGCACTTGTCTATGAGCTGTACAGTGTCTCTCTTACCTGAGCGTGAGAGCCGTGGTGGTCAAACATGTCCATTTGGATTTCCTGGGTTGAGGTGGAAGGCGTCCTGGACATTATACGCTCCTGTACCATTGATTTCAACTTTAAATTCGGTTTTATTGTTTCATTTAGAGCCTGCTCTCAGTTTATTATGCATTGTAAAATAATTAAAGGTAAAATAAAAGAGACGAAGGTGGTTTTCCTCCTTCCTGTGGCTTACAGATGGCTTGTCACTGCGCTGTTGCGCCCCCAGCTCTGGCGGCGTTGAGCTCAAACCCTCTCCCTTCGCAACTACAACGAGCCTAGTCTCCAGCTGTTCAGCGGAGGGACAAGCCCCGCCCTCCTTCGCTTATCAATCAATCAGATATGGATAGGGCGGGGCTAGTCGACTGTCTTCGCACCGATTGGTTGATCGAATCGAAATTACTATGAGATGGACGATGGCTGCTCTTCTCCCCACTCTACTGTGCATAATGGCATCGGCGCATTGCTGCTCCACGTGAACGATAAATTACCCATCACAGTAGGCCATTGTTGCTGTTTTTATACACTATGGACAAAAGTATTGTGACACACCCTTGTAATTAACAGGTTTGACTACATTAGTAATTTCCATGAGTACAAATCTTAAAGTTTAAGTATATAATGATATGCAAGCGAATTATGTGCTTCTAATTTTATAGCAACAGTTTGGACAGGACTCTTTTCTATTCTAACATGACAATGCCTCTGTGTATACGGCAAGGTTAAAAAAAATTATTGATCCAGTCAGTGTGGAAGAAATCCCAGCTGAACACCTCTGGTGTGACTTTAAATGCAGACCTTGAGCCAAAAACTCATCACCAAACACCAATCACGTGTACATATGGGTACAGTCATACCCATACAACAACTGTTGCAACAGAGACAGATGGAAATGAATTATGTTTTCATCTTTGTTGCCACAGTTTTGGAAGTGCCTTTTTCTGTTCTAAAGAAGGGGGTGTCCCAATACTTTTGTCCATATAGGCTAGTGTATGAACAAGTTATTGGTGTTTGGTGACGAGTCTTTATTAATTTCTCATGGACATTACTAAAGTAGACAAACCTTTTCATTAGAAGGGGGTGTCCCAATACTTTTGTCCATATAGTGTATGTGATATATTATTGTGTTAATCAGTCTAATCTGTATTCCTGTTTGCTAAAAATTACTGGGTTATTATGAGATTTTTTTAAGTAGACTACCTACCTGGTTTCCTGCATTGCCCTCTTATTCATTCAACAGTCAAAGACGAATAAAAAACGACTAAACAGACTGAGAATATTAAAATAACCAGTAATCAAGACGGAAGCTACCCAGACTACAGTATGCCTCTTTTCTAGTTATTTGCACATTCTCATTAATTCTTCTAATACTGCACTTTGTATTTGTTTTTACATCACCAATCTGTCAAATACGAATTCACTACTACATTACTACAGATTCCACAAGTTCTCATCTTTCAACAGGTAAAATGCTGTCCTCGTGTGGCCTTTTCATGAAAAAGCATTAAAAAAAACTAGCCTACAAATACCACTGCCTACAGTTCCCAGCAGTATCATTTGTGGACCGTACCATTCCTGTTGCCGAGGTAGGCGTATTATGCTTTATATGTATATTAATACTCTTACTTGATGAAGTTATAATAGAATTGGTTAAAGTACTGAATGCACATCGAATAAATACATTTAATGCCTTTATAACTATTTGTCATAACCATCTACTTTTGTTGTGATTGATATCCTGTGTAGTAATCTCACCCCTCCTCCCCGGAATATAACTGTATAATCGGTAAATCTCCGCCATTAACAGCCTCTTTCAACTTCCGCTGAGTAGCAGCCATGAGGTAAAGTTCTTTACACGTGTAATACTCGATTTTTTCTCAAGAATCGAACTAAGAAAAACGTTCTATCTTGAGGTAGACGTTCTTGACACTTTTTAATAAACGGTTAATGAAACGTCTGAAGACGATTTATGGTGTAATGTTGCTATATGCGTATAATCGCCATGTTGCGTCGTTATATTGGCAATCGTAACGTCTGGGTTCTATTACATTGTACACAGTAAAAGGTTTTTAGCAAACGTTCATCATTATGTGGTACTTTGTTTTAATGTGCGTTTCTTTTACATTACTATGTTGTATTTTTGTCTATCGGCGGCAAAAGCCCATATGGTGTGTAACGTTAGCCCGGTTAGCAGTGCTCAACATGCTCAAACATGCCCCGTATATAGACTAGGGTCACTTCGACGGCCTGCCTATCCTAAAAACAGGAGCAGATAGAAGGCCATTTGGCCTCCTCTTTCCATATTTTGCTAGATTTGAGTAAGATGACCGGTTTATTTTGTTATATTAATAAATAATAAAAAAATACCCTTGCTACGTGTACTGCGTCAGGCTAAATGAGATTTGTTATAGCACTTGCATTTCATTGCTCTTTTGTTGATTTTGATTGCTTCCATTGTCCTCATTTGTAAGTCGCTTCCAAAGCGTCTGCTAAATGACTAAATATAAATGCAATTGTGTAAACCTATTGCGGTGGCAAGTTCATAGAAAGGAAAGACAACTGTTAGGCAGTAGTGTATATCGTTGCAGTCCACGGATAAATAAACGAGTATTAATTTCAGTTGTCAAACTTATGAAACTAAATTTTGTACTGAATGTCAAAAATTGTGATTGATCTAAAACTGTCCTTTTTTTTTCTCCAGCATGCTCAGGCTTCAGAAGAGGTTGGCGTCCAGCGTTTTGCGCTGTGGCAAGAAGAAAGTGTGGCTGGATCCAAATGAAACCAATGAGATTGCCAATGCCAATTCTCGTAAGTAATTAGGATCTCCTTCAGTACTTTTCTCTGCTTTGGTGAGAAATCTATCCGTTTTTGCCATGGAGTACTAATTATCTTCCTATAAATCTTTTAGGGCAGCAGATTCGCAAGTTGGTGAAGGATGGGCTGATCATCAAGAAGCCTGTAACCGTTCACTCTCGTGCTCGATGCCGCAAGAATACCCTGGCACGGCGGAAGGGTCGTCATATGGGCGTTGGTGTGTACCAGTTTAATGGCATTTGGTTATTAGTTGCTATTGCCATGAGAACAGGAATCATGTCAATCCAAATAATGACTTTATGCAGTCTTGCGAATTAATGGGGAAAAAGATAGTTCTGGAATCCAGGGCAGTAAAAAGGGGGCATTCATACTTGAGCTCTTTTCTGGCTGTGTTGTGATTGGCTGTGTTTGCTTGCAGGTAAGAGAAAGGGTACGGCTAATGCTCGTATGCCAGAGAAGCTGTGCTGGATGAGACGTATGCGTATTCTGCGACGACTTCTGAGACGTTACAGAGAGGCCAAGAAGATCGACAGGCACATGTGAGCTCGTGTTTTCATTAAGTTTTGTGCAGTGATACTCAGTAACTGTATAGCAGGATTTTATAACTGATATTGTCAACACATTGATTTGGCAAGATCCCTTTTTTGTTACTAACAATTTAGTGAACATACCGTCTGAAAGTGTGGATTCACAAATAAATGTATAATTCTGTTTCTCCTTCAGGTACCACAGCTTGTATCTGAGGGCGAAGGGTAACGTGTTCAAGAACAAACGTATCCTGATGGAGCACATTCACAAGCTCAAGGCAGACAAGGCCCGCAAGAAGCTCCTGTCGTAAGTGTCCAAATAACATTACCCAGTGTGCACCACATCAATACACTGACCAGTTGCTTCATATCAAATCGTTTGAATTGAGTGGAAAATTAGTGGAATATTCTATGGCAATTAGCTGTAAATGTGATAAAACATGGTCTGACTCTGCTGTAAAGAGCAGTGCTAATCTGTGTGTCCCTTCATCCTCAGTGATCAGGCGGAGGCTCGTCGTACGAAGACCCGTGAGGCACGTAAACGCCGTGAGGAGAGGCAGCAGGCTAAGAAAGAGGACATCATTAAAAGTCTTTCCAAGGAAGAAGAGACCAAGAAATAAGATCGTCGTCTTTTCCTGCCCCAAATGTTCTTCAGCTCACCTAAGTGATAATAAATACACTTTGCTACAGCTCTTTGGTCTCCAGTGTGTTTATGGATGTATATGCAGACAGAGGGGTCATTTTAAGGGTCAACGCAGGACATGAAGCTTTAGAAATTATTCTTACAACACTGTCAAAGGAACAATTTCCAAATGGCACAAATTTTTAACAGAATTGTTACAGCACATTTCACAAAGCACTGCTGCCCCTGAGAGTTTAACCTTTTTCAGATTAATCAACTTGGTATGCTACTAGCATAAGAAATGACTCTGCATCAATCTAAAAAGCTCTGAACACCAACAGAATGGCATTAGTCATTTAAAAAAGGTAGGCTGAAAATACCAGGAGGTCATGACCATTTAAAAGAATAACGGAACTAAACCAGTTGTCAAGAATTTAAGTGCCTTATTAATCTGAGTCGAGCAGATCTCTGAAAATAGCAGTATAAATGCTGCTCAAGGAAACCAGTACAGTGTTGATTCATGGTGTTTTTGTTGATTTCAGTGTTAAGTGTGTCTGCTCCCTCTTCCAGTGAGCTGTAGGGCACCTCTTTTTCTGGTATTTTGCTTTCATCCTGCAGAAACAGCAATACATGGTTATGTTGAAGTAGGCAGTTATATTTGGAAATTAAATAGTAATGACACAACAGTGGTTATGTTGAAGTAGGCAGTTATATTTGGAAATTAAATGGTAATGACACAACAGTGAACAGAGAAGCCTAATAAAAACCCTACACTGATTTTTAGTGTCAGCACTGTATGATTGCATTAAAAAGATGTGATAAATATAAGCAAACTGAATGATAAAGACTACTTGCCAAAAACAAATCACACAGAATGTCAGTGTAATGAATAATTCAATCACCAGGCCTTTTGATTGTCCACCTATATGCTTTTCTAAGACCTATGTGACCAAAGATGCAAAGATTTTAGCACTGTACAGTATCAATTAAATGAAAGTGAAATGCTAAATGTAAAATGAACGTTTTAAATGAAACAGATGTATTGGTGTAGATTAATAGTGTGGGCCTAGTGAGGGCTGCTTGAGCAGGGCCAGCGCTAAGGGGCCAATGTTTTGCCAAGGAGCAAATTCTCAGGGGCCCTCTGGGCAGCCCACTGGGGGCCCTTAGGCTAGCCCTAAGTGGGCCCGTAAAGGGCCAGTGCAGGCTTGTTTGCAGGGGTTTCAACAGACAACATTTGTTTTAGTGACATTTTGTATTTCTTCTGAGATTTCATGAAAATATGAATACACGTGGGCAGAATGTGATATATTTTTACTAATGGTGCAAATAGTGTTGTGGGTTTTAAGAGAAACAGTTCAGGCAGGCAGTAACATTTCACCACATCAAACATCATGAGTGTCTGTGTTTTCATGAGCATCGTGTTGCTTTTCAGTTCCCCATGTTTTTCTTAGGATTACCCATTTTATGCTTCCTCTTTTACTGTAAACACACAAATACACAAAAAATCATGCTGGAACACTGAAATATGCCTCATAACCAACACTAAAAATATAACAGTGCCTGCTTATCAGCTGGCTTACCTTCATTCATATTTACTGGAAGAGTCATATTTGTCTGACCGAGTTCATTTCTGCTGACACACACTGGAGAACCGATTCTGGTAAGGTCCTCAACAGTCATTGTGAAGGTGCTTTTTACAGTGATGTGACCCTCTGATGCTCTGACCATGTTCAAATCAGCATTGTTTTGTAGAGGCCAGTGAATATCAGGCAAAGGCACTCCCTGACTGACACACACACAAGTGAGCTGATCCTGTTGCTGAGAGCATGCAGAGCTGTTCAGTATCTGAGGATGAGCTGCATGATGCACAATCATGAAACATTATCAGCGAGCAGTGTTGGGGAGTAACTAGTTACATGTAACGGAATTACGTAATTTAATTACAAAATAAAAGTAATTGTAATCAGTTACAGTTACTGAGAAAAAACATGTAATTAAATTACAGTTACTTATGAAAATGTTAAGGATTACAAAGGGGGTTACATCTGCTTTTTTTCATACACACTCCCACATACAGATTTAATTGATTTCTTTCATAAATTGCAGTGACTGCTCTAAAATATGAAACACCAATGTTTCAGGAGTTTAGAACAAGCTTATTCGATAACTCTTTTATTTACTATATGGGTTTATGTAGCTATGCTTAATTTTTTAAAGATTAACTGTTTTTTTCCAAGGCATTGTTAGATTCCAGTGTTTACTGTCATAGCTATGTAAAGATTAGCAGTCTGGAGTAAAATGATTTGCGCAGACATAAACGAATCTAGGTGTATGCAGTGGCGCATTACCATTAAAAACAAAACTAATGCACTGCGTTCCTCAGTGGCTCTGATGTCGGGAGAAAATTAAGATTTTTATGTTCTTCTACATCACAAAACTACAAAACACCTGCATCGCTTACAAGACATTGTCGCTACAGCTGCTGGAGCACGGAGAGAATGATGTACTTCGTACAACTGGCTGAAGGTGAAAACATGCTAATATTGGACAGTACTTCAGCGGTTGTGGGCGGGGCCTGAACAATATGACATCATACTGCTCAGAAAATCAAAACTGCTTGATAATTGAGACTGTTTAGGATTTTGGGGGATTAAAAAAAAAAAAAGGAGTGAATGGATTTTTATCATTGTAGGGTGGTTGTGTCCACATACTGCTAAGATACATGTATAAGCAAACACCATGTAAAAGTGAATTTTGCATCCAATGCCTACTTTAAAATTGAAAAATAATCTTAATTATAAGATTAATCCCTTCCAGGTTACTTTTGGATCACTACCGAGGCAGAGATCTGGAAGTGTGCAAGTTATAAAAGCCTGCTTTCCAGCTACAAGGACCTCAGTGTTAAGACTGATGTTCAGTTTTGCTGAAAAAATAAGAAGAGCTAACTGTGTTATTTACCTGAATGCAGACACTCACTTACATTGCAACATTACAACTAAATAGCTGAAACATTTATAAAAATGTCCATTAATAAAGTGGTCAAGAATGTGACAAATTATTCTAGTCGACACTGATGGCATTCAGATAGCATATAGTTTTACAAAAGTAGTTCTTAATTCTCCATTTGAATTTAAATTATATGCTGCTTTAAGTCAAACATACGTACCAGTAGAATAAGACACTCTGACCCTCTCGTCATAAATGTGTTTCATTTGTTCTCCATTTTAACATGAGCCCGTACTCTTCGATTCTTTCGTTCCCACTGAAGTCCCACAGAATAACACTGCATTCATTTTCAGGGGAAAGTAGTGGCCACATCAGTTTGTCCTTTTCCTCCACCATTGGTGGGCTGAGAGGGAGCTCAGGGCTGCCTCTGAACCAGATCTTTTGGGCAGAATACACTCTCACTGGAGTAGTAAATGCACAGGGGATCTGAGCACATCCCGCCATGGCAGTGATGAGGTTCTTTTCCAGTCGCAATTCAAAGTCATAATCACCTGCATAAAACAATTATCATAGCAAAACAGAAATCATGAGAGATCATGACTACATTGTGAATTATGGTTTCTCATTGAATGACTGCTTGATCTCACCTCCTGGAACGAGCAACCCATTACTTGATCCAATCCACAGGTGTAGAACAAAGAGCAAAACCAGACACGTCTCATGCTGAACACTTGGTAACTTCATGTTTGAAGAAATTCTAACGTGCAACAAGCCTCCTCTTGATACTGCAGGTTGAAGATGTAGTACACAGCAAACACTGTTGCAACTGCAGTCAAAAATGTTGACTGGACACAGTCACAAATAACACAGCCCTCTAGGCTTATCTACCATACAGCATTTGCCGGCTCTGCCATACCTAAAATAAAAAATAAAGAAATAAAAACAATAACAATTAACACATTTTTCTCACAACTCATTTCAAAGAACTACCTTCAAGAAAATTCAATTTTAACAATCGTGTACCATAGCAATGTTAACAATTTTATATCTCAACCATTAGTAAATGTTTCTACTTCATCACATGTAATGACACACTAACCCAGCAAAATCAGACGAGGACTGGCAGGCAGATTGAGTGTCTTCTCAACATCAGATGCAGATGCAGCAACCTGTAGAGAACACACAATACACAAATAAGAATACATAATATAATTTAGTGAAGTGGAAAGAAGAAAATTAAATACTTACGTCTGCATGCAAAACCAGTCCATCTTCATGTTCCTGGAAGTGGGACATTAGAATCTTGACAAGCAGGTGTGCCATCTCTATGTTCTCAGCCTGGGACAGGACATGCTTCACCTTTTCATTCAAAACACGTATTAAACAATTAAAAATATTCTGTCTACCGCTCTCTCCTTCACACACACACACACATACACAACTGTATCCGAGTATGAGGAACAAGTTATAATGTAAGTGTCAGAATGAAGTAACATATAGAGGTTTAACAGGTTTTTTGCGCAAATTTATCCAGTGCAAAATCTGCGATTAAAATGTGCTCATATACAAAGCCCACAAAGCCCACTATAAGTTAGAATATATTTAGATTACACTCTAACTTGCTTTAGATACGACTTAAGATGAAATCCGCGCAACGCTTCCACTGAGAATGCGTCACTTCGAAAAAGCAAACGTTTCTCCTCATCCTCCACCGATCAAGTCAAGTGCTCATGCAAAAGGCGGCAAGTGTATATGCTTCCTTAGTCAAATTAAGTTTACACGCCTATTTTCGATTTCCCTATATATAAGGTTAATATATGCCAACTTTACACACACCTAACTTAGGAACAAGAATGCAAATTAAGCAAATCCTCCATTTTAAACCACACTGGGTTGGCGCCAATGCAAAACGCAAATATAAAGATTGTGCAAATAATTGTTTCAAATAATCAAGCACTTACTTCAGATCCCCGTTATCTGCTATCTGTAATTGAGCTTGAATTTGAAATAAAATCCGTTTTGGCTATATATCCACTGAGACCGACGCTTCTCTCACTGGTATCAAAAGCTAACCGTTGCTCCCCTCCCCCACCGAACGCAAATATTTTATATTTCCCTCTATACAAGGTTAACATTTACAGGATTTTACACTAGGAAACAACAAATCATGCAATTAGCTGCAAGAATCACTCTCTCTCTTTCTTACACACACGCGCACACACACACACACTTAACGCTAATTCACCATCTTAAACCTCAGGGTTGGCAACAATCTGTCAAAGGCAAATTAAAAGATTGTGCCCACATAAAAAATAAATATATCAAATAAACTTATTTCAGACTCTGATCTGCTTACCTGTAAATGAGCTTCAACTTGAGATGAAATCCATGCATATAAAACTTTCACTGAAACCGATGCTCCTCGATGCGTCGGCGTCAATCACCTGTACCAAGCTAGCTTTTGGTTCCCCTCCCCCACCGATCACGTGTGCATTTACGGTAAGACACCGTAATTTTAGAAAACAGTTCAGTACTGTAAATTTACGCTGTAAATTTACAGGGATTTTTTACAGTGTATGTGGTAAATGAACCCAAATGTAAGTTCAGCCCCTGGTTGTTGTTTTTGTCTTTGTATGGAAAAGAGCAGCAGCGATATTCTGTGTAACTTCACATTTTGCGTTCCACAAAAATTAGAGCGACATAATTTGGTTGAACTGTTTCTTTATGTTCTGCTTTAGCTCCATCTCTCCCCCGCTCCTGCACACTGCTCTCTATCTCACCCAATCTAATGAACATGGAGCTGGAGAGGCGTCTGCATGCCTACGCCTCTCAGACGCTGCGCATAATTGTTTCTTTCTGTCTCCGCTGGCATCTGAGCTCATGTGTGAGAGGTGAATGGTCTGTCATACTCCTAATGAGCTCAACCCACTAAAGTCAACTGTGCTCTGCCCGTTAGAGGAAGCCATTTGCATTAACGAACAGAGAGAAAACACACATCGCCTCACCTACCAATTACTGCTACAACAGACTATGGCGAGATCTCTTTCTGCATGTTTGCGTTTGCCCTTTGAGCGTGTTTTTATGCATACAGTGACCTTGTAATTCTGGAAGTGTACCGCGAGTTAAATGCATTCTGTGTGTGTTTGAGAGTCTGGGCTTGTAATGCATGGATATATATTCAGGTGAGCAGATATGCTTGAGCGCTGCTTGACATTGCCCTAATGATGTCGTGTCACCCGGCGTCCACTGTGGCCCCGCAGCCAATTAGCACAGACAGAGAGACTGTTTTACACACACAAGACAAATCAAATTACCCATCTGCCCTCATCCCTTGATCCTGCTCAGCCTCTGCTATTTATTCAGAGTCACTCGTTCATTTGGGCACAGAGGGTGATGCTGCAGGTGTGTGTGTGTCTGTGTGTTGTGTTCAGTAAAGCATG